TTCTTTCTTTCTTTCTTTCTTTCTTTCTTTCTATTATTAATATAATTATTAATTCGTAAAGTACTTTTTCCATACAGATATCAGTCGTCATTGGTGTTCGTTATCAAGCCCTTCCCAGAATGCATCGTTGAAGATGGCGTTCGACTCCGTCCAAACATTAACGAGATGAACGATTTTACAACCACGATGGAAAACCTTCTGTACCAATTATCAATACCTTACACAATAATTAACGTCTTGGATCTTAAAGAAAGAGTGAAAATTGTTCAAAGCGAGATAAATAAGCGACAAAAATCGACGGGATAAAATGCCTTCAAATGAAAAAGACTCGGCATTTTCGATTTCTCAGTTTTTATTGAAATATTTTTGAACATTTTTTTATTCAATTTAATAGTATTTTTTAGATAATTTTTTCAAAGGTTAGTGCCTTCTTTTATTGTGATATAAGTATAAGTATGAGTAAAAGTTAATACGTAGGTATTAAAATAACGACTATTAGCAGAGTCTAACACTTACGCCAGTGATGGCTAGCTAGCTGTGAGTTAATTGTTCAGTTCGACCCGCGAAAGTTGGCAATAACTAGTTTTTCAAGTTACTTATTCGATCTAAAACAAAACTAAAAACACATCAATTATTTAAGGATTGGAAAAAAAAAAAAAAGAGTTTACAGCGTACTGCCTTAGCAACAACGCTAAATGTTTGACAGTTAACTAACCGCTAAACTAAAACTAGGTCATTTTTAAAATCTGAATACTGATCTTATTTTCACTTTATTTTCATCTTTAATTTAATAGTTATCGTTTCAGTAATTTGTGTACTATATATTACTGAATGATAATTCCTTTATAATTTTCGTTTGCGGTTGTGCTTAAGCTTGTATTTATCTCTCTAACTTGTTTTACTGTTTTAATGAATAGATGCCAATAATAGCGTCTTTAGAACAAATTGTTGGCTTGGGAAAAGCCATAAAGTTCGCTTTGACCTCAAATCTTCACATAAACAAARAGGTACTGATATATGACAACACTTGGAAATTTTTTGAATGCTGTCGAAAGTGCTCAGTTTTAAAGCTCAATTATTCAAAAGATATCCTCAAACCCAAGAAATCAGTATAATGTACAGCAATGAACCATCTTTTCATGGATTCAAACTCCCAGAGGATCTTTTGGACTATCGCTCTCACGAATCGAAGAAGCGTTTGATTCGTTGTATGAGCGAGGGGACTGCAATGCCATTTCTGGCGCTATCATCTTGCTACAAACCTCAGTCACACCCGGCGTATTGTGGCTTCTCTACACTAGTGATGGTGCTAAATGCCTTACGTGTTGATCCTAAAAGACTTTGGAAAACTCCCTGGAGATGGTTTACGGAAGAGTTACTGGAAAAATCCGTGGAGTTGACCGAACTGGAACTGATAAGAAAGACAGGGATAACGATGGAGCAATTTCAGAACGTGTCGGAGCGCAACGGAGCGACTTGCAAACTCGTTCGTCCATCTGGCGATAGTGAAGAAGGCTATGAAGAGTTCCTCTCCGATCTTTACCATGTCTGCGCGGGTAGGAAAAGTCGCTGGCAAGATCACGGTTTAATAAGATCTGATGATAACTCTAGGAATATGAACCTGGCTCTAAGCGAAGAATATCCCAATAAGTTGATGGCGGTTTCATTTTACAGAGAAGCTTTAGAACAACACGGAAATGGCCATTACAGTCCTGTTGCTGCGTTTGATCTGAAGACCAACTCGGTTCTTGTCTTGGATACCGCGAGATTCAAATATCCACCGTATTGGGTACCCACAAGGGATCTTTATCGGTCAATGGTTCCCATAGATACAGCAACGGAAAAGAGTCGAGGGTATTTCTTGATGAAGAGAAATGACGTAGGGAAAATACAAGACTTATCATTGTACCTTGAAGATTGAAGGAAACGCTTACATATATAATAATTTCTTGATGAAGAAATCTGAGTAGAGAAAATGCATGACTTACTGTATCATTGTACCTTGAAGGTTGAAGGGGATGCTTATATACGTATAGTATGAAGAAATCTGGGAAAATACATGACTCAACATTGTACCTTGAAGGTCGGTGCCTACATCATTCTCAACAGTGACAAAACAATGAATCAGTTCTAGTTTACTTATAACAGCGTCACTGATAAGTAAACTAGAATTTATTGCTTTTTCTCGTTGAGAATGATGCCTGCAGACACCGAAACATCGAGTAAGGGGAATCTTATCGTCATAAAGGTTTTGTGATTAAAACATGCAAACTAAGAGTAAAAATAGATAAGGTATAAAGGAAATAATTATTTTGATTAAAAAAGCCATAAAAATGGAAAACAAGTCGAAAGAAATTAAGAGGAAAGCCAAAGGAAGAAAGAGAAACAATGGAAGGATAGAGGGACGAGTTGAAGGAAGGAAGGAAAAGAGGTAGACTATAACGAAGGAGAAACAGAAGAGTGGGAAGAGAGGCGAGGAATTCCAACGAAGCTCTAGAGTAATGGAAAATATCAAGAATAAATAGCGAGTTGTTCTAGTTAGTCTCTGCTTCATTCAACCACGAACCAACCAACATCTGGCCACCTGTTGCATATTTGACCATCTAGTAACCATGGTAATGTTTTTTTCGATTACCTTAATTGTTGCTGAAAAGCCTTTTCAAAGGAGCATCAATAAAATGTATGTAATATGTATGTATGACATTCTAAAATGGTAAATAAGAGGCCGCCACGCTTAAATTTTTCTTGGCTACGCTTAGTTGTATACTGCAGTGTAGCCCGACAAGAAATGTCGACATCTCTTTAAAATTTCCATATTATTTATTTACAAAAAAAACAGGTAGCGTCCTCACCAAATTCCAGTCATGATTTATTCATTGTATCGAGTTATTCTGCAAGTTTATTTTGACGAAAGTTTAACTAAATTTCTAAAGAGAAGAAAGGAGACGAATTATTACTTACTGGTGACCGAGTTCTAAAAAGTAATAAGAAATGACGCGCACCATTTGAGAATTGGCTACTCGGACTGGCCGGTTCAACTTAATGGCGAGCGCCCTAGGACCCCTTCCCCTCCCCCTCCCCCCTCCGATACAGTGCCCGTGTAATGATATCGCATCCAAAATGATACAAACTTACTATCAAAGTATGAAGTTTATTAAATAAAGCTGTCTTTAAGAAAATGACATATTCTATGTGTGTGACGTAAACTGTTACAAGATGAGGTGTATAATTCAGGAATGATCTTTCGTGCAATAGACCTCTAGTTCGGGCAGGTTTGCCCATTTCAGACACGTGTCATTCTCTTGAGAATAGGATTCTCTGTTTGAGATGCGACCTTATTCACTGTGTCTTCTGAAGCGCACCCGTTAAACRAAGAAATAATACTCTAGAGAATGACACGTGGTCTGAAGTAGGAAAACATACGCAAAGACGTCTATTTCTGGATAGCACTTCATGTACATCATATACTGTCCTTTCTATTAATCAATATTAACAAATTTATAGCTTGAGTACTACATGAAGTATCTATCGTCGCAAATCGTATCAAAGTTTTTAGATGGAATAAGAAAAGTGGCGCCAAATGATTGCAAGTATTTCATGTATTGCTTCTTGTGGTAAGAAGCCCTCGGCCGTAACAGACAGCTCTCGTGTAGAGAAATTCATAGYACCGACTCCACTTAGTTACCGTTGCTATGTCCCACAAGCTCAACACATTAGCTAGAATATGAATCATAAATTGCTTCAATATTTTCATGTCCTGGGAAATAAAATAGAATAAAGTTGTTTTTGAGAGACAGGATTTGAACTTAACTGAGAAACCTTCTGCAAAGGCGATTGGTTCGCCTATGTCCGAGTCGGTACTATGAATTTAACCAGCTCTTGCGTCGTGTAGTAATCAACTTAGTCGTCCATTTCCTCAGTCTTGGAGAATTCCCAAACCTGTGATTGGCTGTCTTCACATGGTTTGACTTTGGCGTACTCGTTACCGCTGCGCCCGCGATCCAAGCAGATGTCGTGACGCGGATTCTTTAGTGTCTTATCCTGCAACCGTAAAAGTATTATTGTCAACATGATAGTAAAAGAATGCGCCTAATTCAATAAACGCGAAGGCGATAGGCGACAGGTCATTCCGGCATGGAAATGGTTTCGTTGGATACAAAGAACATTGAATCAGTCTCAACACTAAGGTTCATGTTCTTGACGAGAATAAGAAGCAGAAACACAAGTCATTCCAGCTATTTTCGGATCTTGGAATGACCTGTCTCCTATCGCTTATTACCTATCGCCTTTGGCGATGACAACGTTTTTAGAAATAGGTGTATAATCAATCCGTTAAACAGTTGCACAAGACAAGACACAAGAATATAGATAACACACACAAAAAATCTTTAAAAAATCACAAAAGAATGACAAATGCTCTGAAACGAAAAAAAAAAAAAAAAAAT